ACCTCTTTTTGATCTATTATCAATTTTTAATTTTTTTAATAACGTTTCTATCATTTGTATTTCAAAGTCCATATTCAAATCTTCAAATAATACTATTTTCTCATCGATTCTATAGTTTTTTATAATGTTCTCAAATAGCGATAAATTAGTCAAATGATACAGTGATCCATAATTTTCAAAAATTGCTGCATTTTCCTCCTCTATTAGTATATAGTGTTCCCTTGTATAATCAATTATATCCGATCTGATAATTGTAGCATACAACATCAATAATAAAATTTGTTTATGTGTCCCCATTGTTTCTATAAAATTATAAAATTACACTTTAATATTATCCTTATGAATAATTCTGTTTCTGCTTTGTATTTTAACCCTATTTCCTAAATCCTCTATTACTACTTGTTTTTTATATCTGGGCTTTAATTTATTTTTTTCCCCACATATTTTTTCATATATAACTTCCCCTCTATGATAACTTTTTCGAATCCGTTTTTTATTATGGTACTTCAACATTTTTTCCTGAGCATTTTTTAATATTTCTCTCATATTTCCATGTGCTTCTTTGGTAAATAAAACATTATAAGGTTTTTTATCTGTTACCGAGTGTACTGTTCTGTTATACTGCTGAACTGCCCTCATAATTGATTCGTAATCACTTATCAAATTATGTTCTTTCTTCAAACATCGAGAAATTTCCACCAGTGTCGAATGAACCCTTTCTACTTGTCCATTGCTAGTACTGTGGCGTGGTGCACAATAATAAATTTGTATGTTAAATCTTTCCATTAAAGACTTGAACTGTATCGTACTAAACCCCGGTTCGTTATCTATAACTATACTTTTAGCATCTGGAAATGTCTGCAAAAGTTCCAAAACCTTATCTTCTAAATTTAGTTTATCTTCAATACACTTGATAACCAAGTATTTGGAATAAGAATCCAAACACGTAATAAACTTTAATTTTTGTGCAAAAAATATATCAATATGGAGCTGTCTCCTTCTTTTCCTGGTATTGGTGCTTCACCTATTGGGATCAATTTCGGATGCCTTTCATACTTATTACTATTACATATATTACAATTTCTCGCATATTGCTTCAATTGTTTTATCATTAACGGCCAATAATATTCTTGCCTAATTTGAGCCAAATTTTCTCTATAATTTCTATGTGCTCTCTTATGCGTTTGCTCAATAATTGCCCCCTGATCCTCTCTATTAGTCACATCATTAGCGAATAACTTTGTATAAAAAGTTTTTATCGCTGGAAATGCTTCCCTTAACACATTTTTTATTTCATAAAGCACTTGAGGTGTGCAGTGTATTCCCGTAACTATTTTTGGATTTATATATTCTTTCAAAACACCAATTATATTTTGTGGTATGTCGTACTCGATTAAAAATCGCTTATTATTAAAATAAGAAATCGTCTCCAAGACTGTTATTCTTGATTCATCATTAATCAATATTTGCTGTTTAAAATGATTTAATGGTTTCTTTGTTTCGTGAATGTGATACTCATCACTACTTTCTGCTGAATGTTGAGTATTCGTTATTGAATCACCTGAACGATCTGACTCCTCAGAGCTAGTTATGTTATTTAATATTTGTCTTGACAATGCATCAGCAACGACATTTGTTGCCCCTGGCTTATAAATAATTTTCGGTGAAAATTCTTCAATAAACGATCTCCATCTCTTAATTTTAATATTTGGATTCCTTTCAGAAACCGCAAATGACAAAGGTTGATGGTCAGTGTGAATTTCCAAATCACTAACACCGTATAGATAATTTCTTAATGTTTTTAATGCACACACTATGGCAAATAATTCCTTTTCATTTGTTGCATAATTCATTTCTGTAGAATTTAATGTTTTTGATATAAATATAATGGGCTTACCCTCCTGTGATAACACAGCTCCCAAAGCCACATTCGACGCATCAGTAGTTAGAACGAACTTCATATTATAATTAGGTTGCGTTAATTGCACCTGTTGAGACAATAAATTTTTCAATCTTTCACAAGCAGTTATGCCACTCTGATCAAGATCAACAATTTTCTTCTTTGACAAGTATTGAGAAATCTTTCCATTTTCTCCCTGTAAATATTTGGTTAATGGCTTCGATATTGCCGCATAATTTTCTATAAATTTCCTATAGTACCCTGTTAATCCCAAAAATCCTCTCAACTGTCGTAATGTCCTTGGTACTGGGTAATTCTGAATAGTTTCAATTTTTTTTGGATCTGTTTTAATAATATCCTTAGCTACTATATATCCCAAAAATTCAACTTCCTCTTGATAAAACTTTGATTTTTCAGACGATATTTTCATGTTTGCCCCCCTTAATATTTCAATTATCAAATTCAAATGTTTTTTGTGTTCTTTTAAACTTTTTGAAAAAATTATAACGTCATCAATATACACATGACAGAACTTCCCTATGTATTCTCTCAACACATTATCCATAGCTCGTTGAAAAATGCTCGGCGCATTCTTCAATCCAAACGGCATTCGTAAAAACTCGTATTTTCCATTATTAACCGAGAAAGCCGTTTTTTCTATATCGTTTTCTTTCATTAATATCTGGTAAAATCCAGACTCCAAATCAATTGTGGAAAAGTATATTGACTTTCCCAAATTTGTCAGTATTACTTCAGGGTTTGGCATCGGGTACCTATCCGATATTGTCTTCTCGTTAATTTTTTTGAAATCGATCACCAATCTCAATTTTGGACTTCCGTCGTCATTCATTCCTTTCTTTGGAACTACCCATACTGGAGAGTTGTATGGGCTTTTACTTTCCCTGATTATTCCCTTTTGCAACAAATTTTGAATTTCCTCATTAACAAATCTATTCACTGACATTGGATAAGGATATTGCTTTGACCAAATTGGTCTATCCTCATTTATTCGTATTTCCGCCTTTACATCAGTACGAAAGGGCAGATCTAAGTTTACATTCCTATGTATTTCCGAAATTTCCTCAATTGCTTCATTTCGCAATGTTTTTATCATTTTTCTTTCATCATTCAATGCTGATGGTCCTCCGATCTTTGAAACTTGATCGAGGTTGTTAATCAATAAATTATGTAACACATGTTTGCTTTCGGAAACATGCCCAATTTCTTTTTGGTTAATTTTATTCCCAAAATCAGCTTTAATTAAGCGTTTTGTTTTTTTGTTGCCGGTATTATCGTCAGCGGACGCCTTAAGATTTTTGAATCCCAAGGGTTTGAAATTTTTTTAATTTTTTTTATTTTAAATTTTTGTTTTGATAAGCCGGTATTATCATCGGCAGGCGCCTTAGGATTTTCGAATCCCAAGGGGTTTAAATTGTTTAAATCATCCAGAAAATGTATTTTTTCTATTTGGCTATCGCCATATATCAATACTCGATTTGGAATATCAATCTTGGCTCTGATTTTATTTAAAAAATTTATTCCAATCAAGAGATCACTCTCTAAATTATCAATTTCATAAAACCGTTCCTGAAACCCAAACAGATTGACGTTGTGGTAATATTGTATGATGGTCGAACCATTAATGGTCCTTACCCCCTTCTTAATTGCTAAAATATTTCTATTAGTATATATTCCCGCCCGTATATATGAACTGGTTGCCCCCGTATCTATTAATATTCTAAATATTTGCCCCGTTTTTTTTTATCCGATTTAACAATGTAGGGCAAATCGAGATTTAATCTAAAAAATGATTTTCGTTTAAATTATTAATCCTTTGTACCTTCTGCTGGGGTTGAAAGCTGATTTGAGCACTATCATTTCCCCTTTTTGGTACGTTATTTGGTTGGTAATTTGTCTGATAATTACTCCTATTTACCCTTACCTGCGACTGGTTTGTTCGCCTTGGACTAGGCTTATTTAATATTTGTAAAGACTGATCCACGTCCATCGGCTCTGGACGATTTTGTGTAACCTCATTTACATGTGGCGTCCTTATTGGATACTTTAAATTATTCTGAAAATTGTGAGCCCTCTGATTTCCCTGTGAAGGACCCCTTGAATTTATCATCAGACTATTTCTTGAAAAATGCACAGCAAATTGTGCTCCCATTTGATTTGAATATAAATCTTGCGCCTTAGCAAGAACATTTGGCAAATCTTTTGGTGCCAGCGTAAACAGAATTTGATCCAATGGGGAATTAAGTCCCGTTATAAAAGTACGTAGGGCCGTATCCCTATTTTTAATATTCAATTCATTTGTTATGGCAGAATTCGTGCCATGAGTCATAATTGTTTTCTTAGTTAATAACGTTAATTTTTTATTTGCCTCGTTATAAAATTCTATTAAGGTCCTGGAACCTTGTCTTAGTATACTCATCTCCTGTTCTATTATATGACAGGGTCTCTTATCGGCATATGCGAAGTCCAATCGACTCAAAATAGCGTCGAAGTTAAGAACAGTGCCATGATTTGTCAAGATGTCATTGGCATCCTGCGTTAATTTATTACGCAGTATTGTTAAAGCTGCGAAGTACTTTTTACTCCCCCTGGTATAAAGCGACATAGAGTTATTGGCGGCTTCACGCCAGCTAACGTAATTATTTATTTTGCCCTTAAATTCGGGAAGAGATTTTATGACATCTAAACTCTCATCACAATGAATGGTCGAGTCGATACTCTCAACGGAATATTCAGTTACATTATTATTAGAGCTTAAATTCCTAAGCTGGAGCCTAACTTGCTCCAATTCTGTTCGCAATGAAGCAGTACTAGCTGCTATTAACCTAGACACTACATCCATATTCATCGAATTATTACCGTTATTTGCTAAGGCCATTACGGAAAACTTTTTTGTTATTTCTTCCAGTTTTCTTTTACTTAAAACAAATTCTTTTATTTATTTATTTATTATTATTTTTCTTTGGGCACTTGGAATGATTGTGATTGTCTCTACACTTATCACACCAATATAATCTTTGGTATCCTAACTTAGAGGTACTATTTCCCATTAGTATTTAAAATACATAAACTTATACTTAACTATATTTATTCCTGGTTGCTGCCTCGTCGGTACCGCCGTTAATAATAATTTATTTTTTTCACGTTCAAAGTTTTTTCTTCCTTCTTTTTTGTTTTTATATATTTTTTCTCGTATTATTTTATTCACGATACTTATTTCTTGTAATTAAGCAACTGGAGATTTTTGTCTCCTTTATTTGTTACTTAGTTTTTTTCGGTTTTTGTTTCACCTTTCTCGTATTTATTACGATACTTGTTTCTTGTAATTAAGCAACTGGAGATTTTTGTCTCCTTTATTTGTTACTCAGTTTTTGTTTCACTTTTCTCGTATTTATTACGATACTTGTCTCTTTATTTTTTGGACAACTGGAGATTTTTGTCTCCTTTTTTAGTTGCCAAAAAAAAATTTTATTTAAGTCCAAGAGATTTTTTCACATCTCCTGGCAGGATCGCCACTTATTTTTTAGCACGATTGTGAGAGGTTTTTAAAAAAAAACAAATTAAACTGTTGCTTTTTATTTATTCATTTTATTCTGAAATACTTATTTGATTGTCCTCTTACAGCCAAAGAACAAAGAACAAAGAACCCCTTACATTTTACACTTAAGCCTATTTATACTATTTCTATTGTTTATTTAATATGAATTTCATCATGTGATGAAATTCTTTAGCCTTGAGTCTATTGGATTGATTTCATACAGAAATCTGTTTACAAATATTGATTGGCGATATTTTGTTATTGCTTAGCATTATATTTCAATTAAACCATTATGTTTATTTTACAGTTAAGTGCTATGTGTGAGCGGTGGCATTAACTTGCACATGTATGTACGTGTACATAAATAAAATGTTAGCTAGTGAGTTCCGGAATGAATAAAATGAATTCATTCTAATTTTGAAGGTGTAAGAATCTACTTTAAAATTTATAACTTGTTATTTTCAATATTACAGTTTTTATTTACTGAATTTTTTAATTTAAAATACTTTCATTTTCTGAATCATTATAATTTTCATTTTCAACGCACAAGAATTTATAAACTCATTTTATTTAAAAATAAAAGTTTTCTTTCTTTTATATATATATAGCGGCCGGAGGCCGCTAACTTGCAAAGGAGTTTTGCCTAAAAATACTGTGCAAGGCGAAGCCGGTGTTGGTCCGGCTAAGGGTTATATATATATATATATACAATATAAAGATTAATTTGTGTATATATATAAACGGCGATCCTGCTCATCGAATTTTACATAATTTACAAACTTCAAGATTTTTTTGAGCTCTGCGGTTTTATATTCAATTTCAATTTTCAACATACTTGAACATGAATCAAGAGTTGGAGTAACATCTACGTGTATGCATCAAAATAAGAAATATACAATTTCAATTAAATTTTTTTCAATCCTTTGGAGCAAATATAAACATATTAAATATATCGATTTATTAATGAAAATAAATATTTAAAATTGTGAAAATCTGCGTATAAAATTCAAAATTATTTATTCGGGTTTCAAATTTTTAAAGGAAAAATAAAAGCATTCAAACGCTGGAAATCAACAAACTATTGTACTCTATCCAAGGTCCTGTCAATTTTAGTACACCGGTTTCTGTTGATTCTTGAATTGGTAATTCTATTCGAGTGAAATAAATTCAATCAAGAATATCAACAATATTATGTTGCTATTTGTAATATTAAGTATAAATAAAATATTAAGTATTCATTTTAAATAATTTAATTTAACTCTATTTTCCTTTTTTTAAGGTATTGTTAACTCCTCCAAGCATGCATAAATCACCCGTAAATTTCAACAACAGAAACACAAAACGAAATTTCCAACGATACTACACAAAATTTAAAACAAAGCTTTCATACAAGTAATTTAACACATCTTGAAGATAGTTTTAGACCGAATTGTAAACCAATTAAAATACCTCCTTTTTGGAATGAATGTTCTGAACCATTGCTTTCGCTTGTTGTTACAATTTATAATTAACAATATTCATAACAATAATATTAATTTTCAAAATGTTCTTCAACCAGAAACTATTTTAAAAAATTATCGATGTTAGAAATCCACCTCCGTTTTCGAATAAATGTGCACCAATTAAGAAAGTTCTATGTGAGAGATTTTCTCTTAGTGAAGAAGAGAAATTGGAACAATTATTTTCAAATACTGAACTTTGTGATCGTTCACGCTTAGAATTTTTTAGAGATATAAAATCTTTAATTGGCTTAGATTCAATTGTTAGTCACGAACTACTTTTTAAATTATGAATTCGTAAAATACCTCAACAGAATCAAATTTATTTAACTTATCCTAGTAATCAAAATAAAAATGAAACTATTATTTTAGCTGTTAAAATTTTTTGATTTAACCGATAAACCTCAACTATCTTCAATAGCTACAACTAATAATAATAATATTTTAGAACAATGCAATAAAAATTTAAGTCAGTTAAACAACTGGAATGTATCAAACTTTAAACAAAATTACAACAGATATTAATGAATTACAAATTAGATCTAGATCTAGAGATAGATATAGAGGTAGATATAGATCTAGATCAACAACTTTATCAAGAAATAATAATAATCAAAATAATATTTGTTGGCATCATCAATAATTTAAGAATAATGCCTTCAAATGTGTTCAACCTCGCAATTTTAAACAAAGCACAAATATTTCAAATGCGAATTCTTTAAACTAAAATGTTACTTTATGACTGTGGCTTATAATGGAAATATTAAAAAACTTATATGTCGCCTTTTTATTTCTGATAAATTTAAAAACAAAATTTTTTGATTGATACAGGCACAATCGGTTCAGTTAAACCCATCTTCAAAATTTGAATCATTTAAAAGAAATGCTGACCTTAAACTTTCGGCTGTAAACGAATCTTATATAGAAACATTCGGAACCAAACTTTTAAAACTTGATTTATAACTTGTTATTTTAAATTTTTCAGTTCTTATGTTATTGAATTTGGCTGTGCTTTCCATTATGGTTCCAATGCTTGTTTCAGCCAAACTAATTGACCAATCCTATTGAAATTTTCAGGAGTTGTTGCTGTTGATCTAATCTATGTTTATTTATTAAAATTAACACATAAATGTTTATAAATTATACATAATTTGTTGTTAATAAATCTACACTTTCATCACAAATATTTACTTAGCACGTGCACTTATTTAACATACATGATGCAAAATACTAACTTCACATGCGATTAATAAAAATTGTTGCATTTTTATTTCACTTGGTTAGCAGTAAAATATAATTTTATTTTTGTATATTATTTCGATATTGTTTTTCAATATGAATGTCCGACAATAACAATAAGTGGGTGTTACCGTACGGAATAAAAATAAAAATACAATACTGTACAGGGTTGTATTTACGCAATTATAATTTAAAAACATTTTTTATATTTCATGAAAGCAATGACATAAAATATTATGCAAGGCGAAGCCGGTGTTGGTCCGGCTAAGGGTTACAATCAAAAGCGCGGTCGAAGGCCGCCAACTTACAAAGGAGTTTCGCCTAAAAATACTGTGCAAGGCGAAGCAGGTGTTGGTCCGGCTAAGGGTTACAATCAAAAGCGCGGTCGAAGGCCGCCAACTTACAAAGGAGTTTTGCCTAAAAATACTGTGCAAGGCGAAGCCGGTGTTGGTCCGGCTAAGGGTTACAATCAAAAGCGCGGCCAAAGGCCGCCAACTTACAAGGGAGTTTCGCCTAAAAACACTGTGCGAGGCGAAGCCGGTGTTGGTTCGGCTAAGGGTTACAATCAAAAGCGCGGCCGAAGTATAAAAATGTTATTCTAGTTGTTTTATTTTAGAATTTCTGTTTTATATGTGGCAACACCAAAATTCACAGTAGTGGCACTATGTACAAAATTATAGGGTAAAAATTCTATGTTTTTGCTATTTCAAATGTAAATACCTCGAAAACTATAGGTCTCCGGGAGGTTTGGTTTCCGGTTTCTGAGAGACGGTAAAAACCCCTACCACCCCTTATGATTCCTTTTTCCCAAAGCCTGGAACCATAATGGAAAAGGTTCCCTTGAATTTTTTAATTTTAATATTTTCATTTTCTGAAACATTATAATTTTCATTTTCAAACACATAAGAAGTTATAAATAAATTTTATATAAAAATAAAAGTTTTCCGTCTTTTATATATATATATTATATATAGATTAAATTGTGTATCTTCAGAAGGCCATTGCGCTAACACCACCGTTCCTGTCTTTTTCAAGTCTTGCATTCGCGTGCGAAGTGAACTAACTTTCCATAAGAGTGGTATTTTCTTGTTTTACCGGTTTCACTTTTTTTGAAATTTCGTCAGCATCTTCGTCACCTGGAATTTCCACCTCCACACGTTTCACCTTATAAGTTGGTCTACTTGGAGTACGACCTTTCACCTGTCTAGGCATACGCGGCAGTTTCCGTAATTATTAACTTGGGATTCGAAAATGTCTCCCTCTTGGTGTATATGTTGTAACCCGCTTATGGATTTAAACTTTCGCAAGATGCTCACCAGATGAATACCCAAATGCCAAAAGTGCCAGCCTTTCAATTTCGTCAGAAAATTCCAGCAGATTCATTGGGCTTTTGACTACGATTCTCTAACTTCTTTTGGTACATTTGCCTCTAAGGCTCACTATCTTAGCGTATTTCTACGGCTTACATTAATACTTCAGTTATTTGTTGTAGCCGTCTTTTTGAAATGGAGGGTAAGCCCTTAGCGAAGTGGTTGCACGGTGCAATTGCAAATCTCGTAACCGATATTCCCGTTCGCTTACTTAAGTTCCAACTGTCCCCTTAAATAGTTGCTGTATTTTATCTTAGCGTAGTTGGATTTTCTTCTGTCTCTCTTTGAATTCTGTGCTGTCTTAGTCCGAGTTCTTGAGCTGGCATGAACACACTTCCTGACCTTTCAGTTGTGTGGAAATCTGTAATGACATCTCAGACAGCGGTGCATCCATCCTTTATGGCATGCAGTCATCGTGTGCTCGCATTCCTCCAACATACGCATTTCTGACACCAATTGTAAGGATTTCCCTTAGTAGGCCTTGATAATTTCCCAAATCTTTCAAGTAGGATCATTAATATAATTGTTAATTGATAGTTTCCAATTATTACAATTTTTTATTGTAGAGACCTAAAAATATCAATTTGCAATCGAAAATTCCAAAAAAGAAAGTATAGAACGAATCTATGAACAACTAATAGGTTATTATGCACACTCAGTAAGTAGCGAGTAAAAGTATGTAGCTCAAAGCTTACTGTTATAACCCAGAGAATAGTAAACACCAGAATATGGAGGAGTATTGAAACTATCAGCCAGAATTTGACAGCCAGAGTGGTTAAATTTCGTAAGGCACAAATCCTCTTTTGCCCCCCAAAATAATATGGTTTATATTTCAGTTTAGTATAAGCTGTAGGTAACTCCATTTGTTGCAAAAACAACACGACGCAAAAACCACAAATTAGAGCAGGAGCTCGGCCGAAAATCGCTCCAGCGGTTACAAAGTGCCAATTTATAATTTTTTTATTTTTCGATGGAACATATGATCGTCATAATAATATTTAACAGATTCTTAGCTATTGTAATTATGATATTTCACGAATTTGAGATTATGTACCCAGAATGTCTGGTCCCTTAATTGGGAAGGTGCTGCTGATGCCCAGCTGGTTGGTGTCTTAACAAAATTAAAGGCTTACATCACCGCCACCCAAGAAGTGCAATGGATGGGACAAGGACAGAAGATGGTGAAGCCCTGTGAAATATAATATACTACAGCGGTCATATAAAGAAGCGCAAATTTGGTGTACGATTTATATAGCATTCACTCGGGTGGATTAACGTCTAACCACAATCCGCACCGAAACGAAATTTTCCTAACCAATGCTGCTTTGCCCATGCCAATACGAAAATAAAAGGCGATATGACAAAATATTTCTTTTATGAGTGCCTCGCGTTTTAGGGAAAATAAAACGAATTGCAGAACTGAATAGAGAAGGTACAAAATTATTTCAAAGTGTACAGCTGCTGGCGTACGGCGATGATATTGACATTATAGGCCTTAACAACCGCGCCGTAAGTTCTGCTTTCTCCAGACTTGATAAAGAAGCGAAACCTTGGTCGGAGTAAACTTCACAAGTACATGAACTACACATATACGCAACGTATATATATATATATGTATATACCTACATAACGAAATAATATATATGTATACGTACAAATAAGTACTAAACATTTAAGCTAGGCACTAGCATAGCGATTCGTCGCTGTTAAGCAGGGCAAAGAAGAACAGGCGATAGGCCAACAACAAAAGGCAGTGCATAACTGTCCGCCTGTAAGCAAATTTAGTATAAAAAGAGCAGCATCAGCAGTGATATAACACTTCTGTTTGTTATGTCGTAGATAGAGTTGACGTGAAAACGTTGTCAGTACGATACGGTTGAGATATACGGCTGACGTGAAAACGATGCCAATAGAGATATACGGCTGACTTGAAAACGCTGCGTACAGTACAACTGGCGCCCAAAGTAGGGCCCTTATAAAATTGAGGAAAGTAAGGGCCAAGTAACAAGGAACAGAAGTGAAATTTAATTGAAGTGAAGCAAAAACACGAGTGCGCATGAATACGACTGTCAGTGACACACAATACATATATATAAAATAAAACAAGTGCGAGGCACAATAACATTTGTCTGAGAAAAAAAATTATAATGGTTAAAGCAAACTGGGTTTACTACCTCAACAAAGAGGAGTTAATATTAGGTTGTCAAATAACGCTTTTTGTCTTTTGAATTTCGCGGCTATGTACAAAGCGCTACAGAGCTCGTATCTGGCAACACTATACATAATTTGAAAGGTCTTGACATAACCTACAAAACAACGCTATGCATCATTTTCGATAATGCGTTCAACAGTTATAGACGAGTAAACATGGAGTTCACTAACGCCGAAATTCGCGCTATTTTAAAGTTTTCCTTCGTTAAAGGCAAATCCGCTAGAGAAACGTTCCGTGAGATTAATGGTGTTTTGGGGGATGTTACTCTATCACTTCGAACCGCGGAGGAAGGGTTTCAACGATTCAGAGCCGGTGAAAACGACACCATGGATAAGCCAGCCGGCGGAAGACCTGTGACGACAAATACCGATCAAATCATGGAATACATCGAGTTAGCCCGGCATATGGCATCTCGTGACATCGCCGAGGAGATGGGAGTTAGTCACCAAACCATTTTGAACCATCTGCAGAAGGCTGGATACAAAAAAAAGTTTGATGTTTGGGTGCCGCATAATTTGACGCAAAAATACCTTCTGGACCGAATCAACGCCTGCGATATGCTGCTGAAACGGAACGAACTCGACCCATTCTTGAAGCGGATGGTGACTGGCGACGAAAAATGGATCACATACGACAATATCAATCAGCAGTAATATGACACTTCTGTTTGTGCTGTCGTAGAAAGAGTTGACGTGAAACCGTTGCCAGTACGATACGGTTAAGGTATAGGGCTGACGTGAAAACGCTGCTAGTAGAATATTTCACTAATAAAGTTAATTGTGTAACGTAGAACTTTTCGTCTTGTCCTTTGCTTTGCGCTTTTGGGAATTGAAATTATATGATAGGTGAGACCCATAATCCGGCTGAGTGATAGCCCAGCTATAAATCGGAGAGCCAGGTACGTTACAATACACAAACATGAATGCAGAAATGTGGGCGCCGTAGCCAAATAAAGAGAATATAAACAGAGTTGCAGAAATTTGACAATGCATACGATATTTTTTTGTTACTTTGACAACAAATATCTATATTATATGTTTTCATATAATGCTTAACATAAGAATAAATAATTAAATTCTAAAATATAATGAAGGTAATTCACAGTAAAAATAATTAATTTTCAAGAACGTTTAGTTACTTAACGCAAATAATTTCATTAGTCTTAAAAATTTTATAAAATAATATATGCACATGGTAAAAAAAGAATTTCTACATTTTAGAGTTTTTACATTCTTCTTCTTGTGCCATAATAATAGATGCAAAAATCACTATCGCGACACACACTGAGATAAGATCGATCAGCATGCAAACATTCGAGTATAAATCAGTGCTCAAACAGAAATAAGGATAAGTATAGAATAAGTATAACAAGTAAGATATAATCGTTGTTACTCGTTGTGAACAAGTTGCAAGCCAACAACATTCGGTTGTTTCCAACATATACGATGTTTGCATTCAATTTGCTATATCACTCCACACTCAAACTCGTACCAAAGAATTTGAATCAAAGAAAATCAGAGTGCTAATTCTAGTGTTAGCAAAATGATATACGCATTGCAGCTCTCTGGTATACATATATGTACGCATTTAAATTAATATTCATTAAATTTCCATTGTGAGATAGTTAAATAATATGGCGAATACGAAGGAAAATGTATCACACGCAGCTTATGTCGATCTCGAATCAACGGTTGTACCTGACGTTCGTACACTCGAGCAGCATCCAAAAGTTATGGAAAGCTAATTTAAATTCAAATTTAAGATAAATTTTCTAATTGTAGTCACATCGAGACGCAAACGCGCTAATTGGAGGATAAGCTCGGCCGAAAAATCGTTTCAGCGGTTACAAAGCGCCGATTATATTTATATATACTCATTGTTTATTATTTCGAACTACTGCATTGACTCCAGTTTTTATATCATTATTATCATAAAAGGGAAAACTGATATATTAAAAACAAACAAAAAAAGATATTTTTCGTAACAGATATAAAAAATTTTAATATATAATTATTTGAATTTATTATATAATCCAATCTTCCTACAATTCTAATTTTGAAAATCAAAAGTTCCAACAGGATTTTGTTAGCCAGTAGTAATATATACATAAATAATATTTAAATTAGAAATATAAATGCTGGAAAGAACTGGATATTTTTCTTGTTATTCTCTAATTTTTCTTTTTAAATTTTATAAAATATCCAGCTATAAACATTGTTTTTTAAGAGAGAGTATAAATTAAATAAAAATCTCAAAATTAAGCGAAATAGAATCAGTGAACTATAAAGACCAGAATTTGTATATTAATTATAAATTTTTTTAAATTATTCTTTAACAATTTTTCGTTTTGAATCCTATAAAATATTTTATAAAGTAGCCGACTATAAACATCTGTTTTTTAGGGCTGAGTATTAATTATATATAAATTTTTCAATTAAAAAAAAAAAAATTGGGAGAATTTTTATATTAAAAATAATTAAATTAAACGGATTCATAGCACGACAAATCTTATTTCACCATACTCTGTAACACCAGCGCCATTTATTATAAGCGTACCCCAAGTGGTTGAAAAACTTGCCGAAAAACAAAAGTTCCATGCTCTGTACTATACTATACGACCGTTTAGTTTGACTGCACAGTTATAACTAAATTATGTTTGATTTTAATTTCTTCAACTTGTTAAATAATTTATTAATTGACAGAAATGAGTCCAACACGTCCCGTCATATTAAGATGGCTTTAACGTTACTTTCGTATAAAGTGATATATTAATAACTATTCTAATATAGGTACTGGTCGTATATTAATATTTATTTAAGTTTAACAGTTGAGATCTTTCTTTCAGAATGGCTTAAATGCACTTCATTTGGCAGCCAAGGATGGTTTTATCGATATTGTCAGCGAACTTTTGCGCCGTGGTATAAAGGTAGATAATGCGACCAAAAAGGGGAACACAGCGCTACACATTGCTTCATTGGCTGGACAAAAGGATGTTATTAGAATACTTATCCAGTATAATGCAAATGTAAATGTGCAATCATTAAATGGCTTTACTCCGCTTTACATGGCAGCCCAAGAAAATCATGATGCCAGCGTTCGTTTTTTATTATCAAAAGGTGCTAATCCTTCACTTGCTACTGAGGTAAGGTGAACAGCATTTCATACACTATATATTGTATGCAACTGATCTATTTTTTTGTTAGTAGTTAGCTTTTTACTTAGACATATAAGAATTTTTTTTTCAATGTGCCTTTTTGACCGTATGATGAATAAGCAAATATCGTCTAGAGAATATATACTTTTCTTAAGTAAAAGCATATACATTTGCCTTGGTAAAAAGTTGGTTTACACTCAGATGCCGTATCAGGAGGTTTGTTATTACTTTTCATATATCATCTGCGTCTACTAATGCTACGCAACGGAGTTAACCAAGATTTATCCGACCACGGCGCGTCTCTAACATAACATTTTATTTCTTACTTTGTTCGTCCACTCAATTACCATCATGAATTCCTATGTATTTATAAATTCTACTTTTAGTTTTAAGAAAATCGGAACAAGTAGCTCTACTGGATATGGAATAGAACTTGAACATCTTATTTCCCACACACCGGTAAAGTTAAAGACAAAATAGCATTATCTTATTGATTCTCTAAGGAGACTTCAGAATTGCAACTAAAATATTTTTCATAAGCAAACTAGTATAGACAAGTTCACTAAAAGTTTATAACAAAATTATTTTCTTTATACCATCACATTATAATTATGTTATATTCCGCTGCATAAAAATTCACGAAGTTTACTAACCACCTGGAAATTATAATTTGTTGAAAGAAAGCTTCTACTTTTTCCATGTCTAATAAACCATTTAATGCCGCATTACCCCTGATCGAAAAACGCAAAACCAGTTCGCTCATGATGTGATAGACGAAACGAAAGACATGTTTACAATGTTTTTGACGGGCGTACGTACACTCCGAGGACCCAACATCAACTCGGAGCACTATCTTGTTGCAGCGAAGATACTCACCCTGTGTACCAAAGAACGCCCATCAAGAAGCACAAGAAAAGATCGAAAGCTGCAATCACACGAGACTGCCGAACGATTTTCAACTCGACTTGCACACCTGCTGTCTCAGCGCTACTGGTACTAAGGGACGGAACTTCAAACTGCCTACGTACCGCTGCAAGCGAAAATATTGTATTTCGGAAAGGTCGTAAAACAGCTGGTGACTGCCGAATCTCAATAGAAAGAAAGCAGGGTGCCTACTTCACAACATTGCGGTCGACCACAACGATTGCGGGATGGTATAGATACCGAGAACTTGAGAGAAAAAAAAGACGCATCTGCATACAAGAAAATAAAGAGAATGAAGAGCTTGAGAAAGTGGCCGACAAGGGTGATGCGGACGGAGCTGACAGCCTACCGTTGGAGCTATTCAAACATGGCGTGGAGCGTTGACAATGTGCATGCATCAGCTGCTTAGCAGAATAAGGTCGGACGAAAGCATTCCCGACTGTTAGAATTTAAGTATGCTCTGACCAATCGATAGAAATGGGGTACCCCAGTGTCCGTACCAATTGTTGTGGGACTAGCTTCCATAATATCGCATGTAAGGTTCCATTGCGGTTATCATGTGAAAGACTAAGGTCCACCGTCAACAAACTGATTGGACCTTTCAATGTGGCTTTAAACCTGATAAGTCAACCATTGACCAGATATTCACAATGCTCCAAATATTGGAAAAGATCCTAGAAAATAGGATCAACACACACTACCTCTTCGACGATTTTAAAGCCGCCTTCGACAGCCTGAAAAGGAGCTGCTTTTACGCCGGCTTTTTTCTTTGAAGGTGTTGACTGACTCCTGGTGAATGACGTTCAGGGCTTGTCTGTACGCCGTCCTGTCCAGCGGGTGGTGTCCTTCATGTCGAGTAATCCCTTTTTGATGTGCTTAAGTGTTGATTCAGCTTCAATAACGTTCCTATTGCGGGGTTACAAATAGGAATTGCTAGCACAGTAAAGCATTATGCTCTTTAACTCGTAGCATAGATGCTTTAGTGATGCTCCCTGCTGCCGGCTAGCGCTTTGAGTATTTTGTTGCGGCTCTGGAGTTTTGGGGCAATCGCGGTCGAATGCGGAGTGAAGGAGTGCAGGCGGTTTATAGTCGGAGTTTTTACGACATCGACCAAAAAAAAGAAACGAATACGAATTGTTATAAATTCGACTATAACCGATCTCTATGCCAGCAAAGAGGAAGACATATTACACACAACTTATACCCTTGAAGGTGCACACGAAATTTATGTACATTTTTCCTGTTTTGCATCGCATCTACTCTGGCAAACCATGAATGAAAAAAAACTTACATGTTCGTTTTGCAGAACTATCTGCTAATTAAGAACACAGGTACTTTATTTTGAAACTGTTCCATTAAGAAGAAGAACTGGCTGCTTTGGTAGTTGCCTGACAATTTCCGTGTGTTGATACGGAAGGGAAATGTTTTGGTTTAGATAAATGCACGTATTTGCATAACAGACATTTTACTACTTTATTTAATATATTCGCATGTTTACATATTTTTAATATGCTTGGCGAAACCAAGGAGGCTGCGAATGTGGTACATCAAAATAAAAGGAGGAGAATTATCTACATATACCCAATTAAGCAATAAAACATATGATTAGAAGTAAAATGAAATCTTAAATTAACCAATTTATGAGTCATCTACTTTAAAATAATTTTCTTGAAATATGCAGACTTATTAATTCTGCAGTCTATTGGTTTTGATTATTTTTTTTTAATCTGCTCTTTACCTAGCGTTTGAGGCTTTTCTGTAGGTAATCTGTTAGGTAATCGAGTTTTTGACAGTTGTTTTTATGTATTTTTCTATGTTTGAAGCATTGTTTTGTGCATGTATAGTAAATGTCTGTATATCGCTCATGCCTCGGTATGTGAGTGGTTGTGTGGGTGGTATGGATATATAAAAAACGAGTTTTTAATTTACAATAAAAATAGGTTTTTCTTTAAAGATGAAATGTGCTTCATCAATAAATTTTGCTTATAGTGAGCAGTGGAAAGCAAGAACAGTATGACTTATATAAATTCTTATATAAGCCAGATGACTAAGAGATGGTATACTGTAGATATGAGTTTTTTACTCACTCTTTCGTATGGACTATGAATACATGATGTCTATATCACTCATATCCATTTTGCATTTAAATAAAGAAATAGTATAAGTAAAATTTTAAGTATTTCTAAAATTGAATAACACCACTAAAAAATTCAGAATTGGAGTTTTCAAAAAATGTTATCCATAACAGCTTTAAAAATAGGAGTGCTAAGTTGTTGCCACAATAATATATGCGGCAATGTACCATTCCTTTTATCAGGTATATTTAAATCTTGAAAAAAAGGCAAATGTTTCCTGCTTCAACACTTTAACCCTTCGTCGGACGAATATTCATATACCTTCAGACGTTCCAAATAGTCTGGCCATCATCAATACATTTTACATAAATTTGTATGGGAAATTTGAGTTTTAGGTGTCGCATATACACACGATTATAAGTCATAACTGTTTATGGCTTTCATTTTTTCTTTTCCTCACTGATTTTTGCATGTGTTGAACTAGCCGAAAATGAAAACACTGCAAGATGCGAGAGTATTAAATAAATAGAACTCCTACATAATGAACGAACCATCCGTTCTCTTATTTTATAAATGGACGAATACAGCGAGTCTTACAGCCTATTTCCACCAAGCACTTAAATGCATTTAAGGCCTCTGTTAGGTGAATGAAATGTCAAACGTTTCCACCGAAAGTGAGTTAACTCAAACAGCTGATTTTAGTTTACATTTTCAGTTTGCAAAATTTGTCACAAATATTGAAATCATGAATTCAATTTATTTGGCTATTTATGCAATCTTATGATTTGCAAGTGCAGATTTATTCTGCACGGACAATCGTGGCTGAAACGAAAATACTTGTATAGATGTTTGCATTTTCCCATTTGCTTGTTTGTTCCCTCAAATTATATATTTTGCGAAATCAGCTGATAGCTACCACAGCCATCCATATTTTTATATTGAGGGTATCGTTTGAAATTCCACAATTGTTTCATGTTTGTTACGTATTGTATTTTTTGAAAGAGGAGGGAACATTCTCTTCGCCAATTACTTAATATATGCATTTATATTAAATTAATGCACAGATAAAAGTCTCGCTCCTCATTCAATCCGAAAACACACGACTCTGGCAAGAAATACACCGAAACTTCCCAAATGATTACATTAGTAGCGACAGCAACAACTGTTAACATTTCTGCTAAATTACCGAAAGTGAGTTAACTCACTTTTATACAACAACAAGCACATGGGAATTACCGCATTTTAATGCGATGTTTAAATGCATTTAAGCTAAAATGTATTTAACGTCCGGTGGAAATAGGCTATTATTCTACTTATGTATTAAAACTACGGTTGTCATCTTATTACTATTCTTGTGAATAATGGTTTAAATATGGTATGTCTTATAAATAATGGTATGCTTAGACTATGACAGAAAGCTACATTCGTAAGTACGCGCACACGTGTATCTGCTATTAGCCTTACCGGTTCCTACAAATCGGCCATCCTAACAATTGAATCTCCTGATCCTACGGCGTTAAAATACAGTCGCTACATAAATTTGTAGCTGTCTAGGTGCCTCTATAAGGTATTTGTGTATGTTGGAATCCCTCAACATCTACTACATATCGACAATTTTTCAGAACTTTCGTTACTCTGTACGGTCCTTTGAATTTAGGTATTAGTTTACTGGACACGCCTGTGTCAGCCCTCAAGACTTTGAGTATCACTACATAGTCGCCTACTTAAAACGAAACCAAGCTCTACAAGTGGTTTTCTCCGAGCATGCCATTCACAGGAAAGGAGTCTTTGAAGGTGTTGACTGACTCCTGGTTTATGACGTTCAGTGCTTGTCTGTACGCCGTAGGCCTAAACGCCGTCCTGTCCAGCGGTAGTAGTATGTATTGCTGGATGGTGTCCTTCATTTGGAGTACTCACGTTTTGATGTGCTTAGGTGGTGGTTTTGCTTCAATGAGGTTCCTTTTGGGGGTAGTATCCCAATAGGAATTGCTTATACTTTGAATTTCCGTGGTTCTTGTCGATTAGCATCTGAATATTCTTTATTGTAAGTTTGCGCTTTGTTTTGTATTATCTATGCTTGTTTCCTAATAGCTTTTATTGATACCGCTTGAATCCTGCTTTCTTCTCTGTCTAATTTCGAAAAATAGTATAATAGGTTTTTGTAGTTTTATGGACGGTATTGTTTATAGCATGTTCTACCGATTGTAACGTTTTTCCCCACCTTATACCTTCTTCGGAATCAGCCATTTTCGCAATCATTGAACGTAGGCTTTTATTTACGATTTCGGCCTTCTCGCTACTTTTATGTGCTCAACGTTATTACTTCCTAAAAATTCTTCAAACTCGTTTGACGTAAAGCATGTCCCTTTGTCTGATACACTAGACTATGGTCTGCTATAGGCCCAGAAATATTCTCTTAAAGCTAAAATTGCTTATTTTGGCGCTGTTGTTTTGGCTGGGAATAATCGGACAAACTTTGTAAATGAATCTATAACCACCAACACATCTTTGTTCTTTGAAAACTTGCTATGAATCGGTCCGTAATGATCAATATGTACCATTTCAAGTGGTTTATATCCCTTATGTATCATGAGTAAAAGTCCTTTTTTTCAACTTTTGTTAGAGAAAGCTATGCACTTTAAGCAATTCTGGATGTGAAAGGTCGCTTTTCGTTTGATATCCGGAAACCAATAGTTTTTCTCTATTATTTGCACAACTTTATCTACCCCTAGGTGCCCCATTTCATCATTATAGTTATATAGAACATGTGATTCCATAGGTTTTGGGACATAAAACAATAACTTTGTCTATTTTTTTTTGTAAACTATTCCATTTCTCATCCCATAGTACAAACTTTCATTCAAAGAAAGTTCCTGAAGTGTCTACCGAAGAGTATTCTCGACTACAACTTGACAACGATCGCCTCAGTATCCGGTGAACATATAAATTTTTAATCACTTTTGTTTCCATTTGCATTCCATTTTTTTATTTAAAAGCCGGGTTTATTAATTTAAGCAGACTTCACAGCTTGCATATATCAAAAATATAACAATAAACTGAAGACATATAATTTCACAAATAAATTTCCCAAAACAGCATATTTCCGCGGTTTCTCAATTCACAACGTTGCATTATTTGTATAGAATACCCAAAAAGAGACTAAGCGAAGAAAATAACAATGACTATTGACAATCTTCAGCGAAGACGTAGACGATCGCCTCAGTATCCGGTGAACATATAAATTTTTAATCACTTTTGTTTCCATTTGCATTCCATTTTTTTATTTAAAAGCCGGGTTTATTAATTTAAGCAGACTTCACAGCTTGCATATATCAAAAATATAACAATAAACTGAAGACATATAATTTCACAAATAAATTTCCCAAAACAGCATATTTCCGCGGTTTCTCAATTCACAACGTTGCATTATTTGTATAGAATACCCAAAAAGAGACTAAGCGAAGAAAATAACAATGACTATTGACAATCTTCAGCGAAGACGTAGACTATGTAAGCAACTTTCAAGACGGCCGGTTGTACGCACCGGAGTTGACCCTAAATCACAGATCTCAAGTTGTGCAGATTTGTTCGAATTTTGAAGTTTGAAAGGAGCGTTACCGCAGCTGAATGGGCCTAAAATCGCTTGAATATGTACATAGCTATAATAAGTGTATTGTGAGATTTAATGGTCATGAAAAAATACCAATGTACCCAATGAGAGTTCTTATAGAATGCTCAAAACTGTTTATGATTTGATATAAGAAATATATATAAAATAAATATGAAAAAATAAGCAGAAAAGAAAAAAAGTTAAGACTGGCAAAATTATGTCTGAGGATGGTTTATTTCATTATTTGCTGTGTTTCTTTTTCATTTAAAAGATCGATTTTATGCATAATCAATAAATAGGCAGCAAGGCCTATTCTGGCGTGGTAACAAAATTTATCTAGGCATTAAAATTTACCATTCAGTAAATTTTGTTACCATTTCGTATTCTGAGCTCACTGTTACCCTGTAAATTTTGTAACCAACGAAATAGGAGGTAACAAACAATCAGGTGTTCGATTTTGTGTTGGCAATTTGTAAAAAAATAAAAAAAACCAAAATGTATAGACATATTTTACGCTTGGAATCAATTGAAGATGAAGAAAAAAGTGCAAGAAGGTGTATGTTAAGAAGTTTGAGAGAAAAAAAATGACCCTTTTAATTTGGAAGGCAGCGTTTTCATTTAGCATTTTCGCCTGAACAAACCAGTTTGTTGGGATCTTATGAACGAATTAGCACCATATGGCAAGTGAGTAAGTGTTCATTTTTGTTCATAATTTTTAACTAACCATTTTTTTTTTAGACAGAAGACATCCTTGCCGTTTCATTTGAGGTTTCTCTCAACAATATGTTTCATTTCCCACGTATCATATAAGAAATGCATTGGGAGCAATTGTTTAACTGCGATGAGCCAGTCTTCTGTTTCGCGATCAATGCACTATATTTCAAATATGATTGTCAAAGTGAAAGCCGGAGAAATTCGCTTCCCAACAACAAGTGAAATGCAAACACAAAAAAAAGAGTGTAAAAACAACTTTTTAAAACAGTTTATTAAGATATTAATACAGATTTTTGCAGATTTTATTCGAAGTTTGAAATAAAAGGCGTCATTGGTGCAATTGACTGCACACACATTGGCATTATTGCAGTTACAAGCAACAACCCTACATATCCAGCAAGCCTGTATATGAACCGGAAGGGTAATTACAGCGCCAATGTAAAGGCAGTGTGTAACGCAAGCATGAATTTTTTTGTCAATAAACGCCAATTTTCCTGGCTCTTGTCATGACTCGGGGATATAGACGACATCCATGATTAGAAGCTTCTTAATGGATCAACGTGGGTGTTGGCTCATAGGTGACCAAGGCTATCCTCTGGAACCCTGGCTACTAACCCCAGTTTCAGAACCAACAAACGCGCTTGAGGAAAATTACAATAGAGTACACTGTGCAGCACGCAAAGTAATTGAACGTACTTAAGGTGTATTGAAATCAAGATTTCGATGTCTCTCAAAGCACCGCATTTTAAACTATAGTCACAAAACAGTAGTATCTATCGTCAATTCATGTGCAATACTCCATAATATTATCAATAAAACCGCATGCTATACTAACATAGAGCAAATGGAACTGGAGGAGAATGAAATTGATGAAAATATTCAAACTGTGCGAGCAACAACTATCCTGAACGAACTCTTTCGAGAAGCCGAACGGATTCGTGCACATTTGATGCGTATGATTTAGTTTTCACAATTTTTAATTAATTTGTGAAGAAATGAATAGAAGAAGTTTAAAAAACAATATTTTTATTGTATCACAAGTTCAGTCTTCATTGTTTTTATATTCAGGCATGGCTATTTACATATTTACATAAATCTTAATACTACTAACTAAAATGTCTTCTAGACAAACATTTAAAAAACTTAAAGCAATACATTTGATAAAAAAAATTCCTTATGTAGCTAATAAAAAAAACTTACTACAGCTTATCGGCTAATTTTGAGATTGCATTGCCCAATCCTTTCCCCATTTGCATCAGTGCAGAAGATAGCTGCTCATCTCTCTGCCTTTGAGACTGCAAATCTTCAGCCATCTTCTTATAAATTGCATCCTTTGTCAATTTTTGTTGCCGAGAAGTGGTAGGAGCAATCGAAGGCCATGCAGCAGAGGCTGCGGCAATGTTAGATATATTTGGGTCTACGATAACTCGGTTGGCGATTCGATCAGCGTTTCCTCAATCACGTATTCTTCCTCTTCGCATAGTGGTGATGGAGTCGCAGTTTTCTGAATGTGCCCTAAGTAAGCAGAAACATAAAGTTTTGTGTATATTTAACAAATAGGCAAATTATTTACTGACAGGAAGACCCAAGGTTACACACTCCAATCCATTGACTGCGCCCATGCCAAATGCAGAAAGAGCTTGTTCCTCGAACTCCGATAACTCCTCGCCTGAAAGCGAACCTCCGCCAGTGCGCAAGCGTTCTGCTTGTAGCTTTCGAGCCCGAGCGCGGAGCTACTTCTTCCAGTTGCTTAAAGACTACAATGGGAAAAATTATTGTTTGATAATATAAACAAAATATAATATAATGTTTACCTCTTTAAGTTTTGCGGCAGTTTTATTCGGCCTTAGTATCTGTCGATTACTTTGTATGAATTCAACATACCATTTCAACTGCGCTTTTGTGGTTCTGGCGTATTTTCTTTAATGAAATTCTATTATTTATGATTTAATAATCAAATAAATAAAACTTACTTATTTTGTTGCGCTCCGTCCATTTTGGTGTATGTATCATTCTTTTTTACTTTACCGAATGTTGTATTTTGACGAAAAAAGCAGTGCTGCCAAATTTTTCTCAATTATTGTAACCAGTTCGCCAGAATACCAAATTCAATTTCGGGTGACAAAGAAAAGTAACAAAATTTACTTTACCGGTAACCATGAGAATAGGCCTGTAAGCGACAAAAGTATCTTCACGTATGTAAACTCAGACATAAGCCAGGTTTTTATTCTCAGTTGGTTTGTATTCACGAGTGTAGAATCATGTCTACTGGATATTTTTATTTTTGCTTCGTTTTGTATATTTTTAAGTGTTATTTTCTCTTTATTAGGTAATGCTCTAGCGATCTTTGTAGCTCCGTTTCAGGTTATTGTTAGGATATTACCTTCGTGATTTGTTTGTTTGACAGTTTGTTTGTTTGACAGTTTGTTTGTTTGACAGTTTGTTTGACAGTTTGTTTGTTTGACAGTTTGTTTCGAAATCTTTTACGAGGTGTCAAGCAAGATTTTAAAGTGGGCATGTGTGTATACTGCTCCTGCCATGGAAAGTGAGTGGTTAAGTGGAGGGGTATTTAAATAAGGTCAAAGGAGCATTTTGTATATTGCATAAATTAGGTTTTCAAATGATTATTTTATTATTTTGTAGAACTTCTCATTAGGAGCTTGCGTTTTTGATCGCGTTGTATTTGTTTCTTACGATATTTAATTTATTGAAGATAAGTGATGGTAGTTGCTCGATTGCGCCCAGCTACATCTGTTAGAGTGGGTGGCTTTTATTTTAAAGACATTTTCTTTGTCATATGTATGGTCGGTTAAATTTCTGTTTATTTGTTTAGTTTGTTTTGGTGAGAGTGTAGATTTGTCGAACCAAGTGTGTTTTTGTGGTGTTGTATAAATTTGTGCGTAAATATTTGTTTTGTTTACAGAGTAGTCTTGAAAGTTTTAGTTTTAATTATTCTGAGAGCTTCGTCTGTAGTCAATTGTCAAATCTATGTCTAGTGTTTGAATCCTCTGTGTGAAATTTTTGGCTATTGTGTCTGCTAGTTCGTTTCCTTTTATACCTATATGGTGTCCAAACAATGTGTATTTTTATCTTGTTTTCTATAATAAGTTTGTGTATCAGTGTCATGCATATGTTGCTAGTGCGTACTTTGTCTAAAAGTTAACATGAGATTAAACTATTTGTGAAAATGAATAGGGATATTTTTGTGTATTGTTTGTCTATGGCTATTTTTATGTCTTGTTTTATAGCCTGCATTTCACCAAAGCTGGAGAATGTTTTTTGAATAAATTTTGTAGAAATATCTTCCTTTTTTAGGTCGTCATAAATATATTGCATATCGGGTGTACTTGTCCCGAGCTGACGCGTTGTCAAATAATTTTTTGTAAGCCATTAATATATTGTCTCTAGCGGTATTGTTTTTATTCGATGCGAGTGTTTTCTTTTTTTGATTACTATCCTCGAGTGCTGTGAATTATGTTCTAGGTTGTCGAAAATTTCTTTATATTGTTTATATGTTGAGCTGTAACTTGACATTGTGGTGATTTACAATTGAATATCTTAACTAAGTCTCTAGCTGTCAGCCAATTTGTTTATCTAGTGTGCTCGTTTGCTAAAACGTATATTAATATTAATGGGATTGGGGTAGATGGTGTGACTCCTAATGCTCTTCCTAATAAGCTTTTTTGAAATGTTTGGATTTTTTTGTGAACTATCTTGATGCAGTTTGTAGTGAATGTTCGGCAGTACCCAATCTTGGATCTAACAAAGGATTTGTAGAAGTTGATTGCTGCCTTGAGTCTCAGTCCTGCTTTGATAGTAGAAATAAGTTTGAAAAGCTTGTTTTCGGACTTAACAATTACCTTATTGTAATGCCCGTCAACTGTTAGAGAGGAGCTTATTTCCCTACCTAAAAATTTTGTAGAGTTGGTTTGTGGTATACTAGGATTGTTAACAGTAACGTGTATTATTATTTTGCTACCTTTGCTAACATTCATTATTTTAGTTTTAGTTTTATCGATACTTAGATTTAATTCTTGAAGGCTTGGTTGAAAAAATTTACTATTTCTTTGGTTTGTTATATCAATATTTTGTCTATGTGAGTATATTATGAAGTCATCAGCAAATTTACAGATTCTTGTAAGTTTATCTGTTATTTTGTGTAACGCTTTTGTGTAAATAATAAAAATAAGAGAAAACTCTCTTGTAGCAGGTCTCCATTAACTTCTACCAGTTTTTTCCGCCAGTTTTAGCTTCCTGAAGGCTAAAAAATATATAATCCTTTTAACATGTAAATTTCATTGTGTTAGAATTATTTAATAAAATTATTTGAATGGAGTGAATTTCTGAATACATACAGCTCATGAAATTTATTTTTTTATAATTATGTTTTGTATATTTGATACAGGATGGGTTTACACCATTGGCTGTTGCCATGCAACAAGGTCATGATAAAGTGGTTGCTGTTCTTCTCGAGTGCGATGTTCGCGGAAAGGTCCGTTTGCCGGCGTTACACATTGCTGCAAAAAAAAATGATGTTAACTCTGCTACTTTAATGCTCCAAACTGAAACTAATCCGGACATTGTATCTAAATCTGGGTTCACTCCGTTACATATTGCAGCTCATTATGGTAATGTTGAAATCGCTAATTTATTAATAAATCGTGGAGCGGATGTAAATTTCACCGCAAAGCATAATATAACGCCGCTACATGTCGCTTGTAAATGGGGTAAAACTAATATTCTACAACTATTGCTTTCAAAAAATGCAAGTATTAATGCCACAACACGTGATGGATTAACGCCACTCCATTGCGCTGCACGTTCAGGTCATGTAGATGTTATCGAGATTTTATTGGCAAATAAGTCACCATTACTTTCGAAAACGAAAAATGGCTTAGCTCCACTTCATATGGCTGCACAAGGCGAACATGACGAAGCAGCTGAAATACTTTTATCACATAAAGCACCAGTTGATGAGGTCACCGTTGACTATCTAACGGCATTGCATGTTGCAGCACATTGCGGTCATGTGCGCGTAGCTAAGCTATTGCTTAATTATAATGCGGATCCTAATGCACGCGCTTTAAATGGATTTACCCCCTTGCATATTGCTTGTAAAAAGAATAGGATTAATGTTGTGGAATTGTTATTAAAACATGGAGCAAGTATTAGTGCCACAACCGAGTCAGGTTTGACTCCGTTGCATGTTGCGAGTTTTATGGGCTGCATGAATATTGTCATATATTTATTACAACACGATGCAATTTTTAATGCACCCACCGTTCGTGGAGAGACACCGCTCCATTTAGCCGCAAGAGCAAACCAAACTGATATAATACGTATTTTGCTACGTAATGGTGCCCAAGTAGAAGCTCGTGCGAGGGAGGGTCAAACACCCCTTCATGTGGCTTCGCGTCTAGGTAACATAGACATAATTATGCTAATGTTGCAACATGGTGCTGACGCCAACGTTGTTACCAAAGACATATATACACCATTACACTTTGCTGCCAAAGAGGGCCAAGAGGAGGTTGTTCAGTTACTGATAGAAAATAATGCTGATTTGAATTCCGCTACCAAGAAAGGATTTACGCCATTACATTTGGCAGCCAAATATGGCAAAGAGAAAGTTGTTGCCCTACTATTGCAGCGTGGGGCTAAAATCGACTGTCATGGAAAAAATGATGTTACACCTTTACATGTCGCAGCCCATTTCGGTCATCAAAAAATAGTATTTTTGCTACTTGAACGTGGGGCTTCACCATTAATTTGTGCAAAAAATGGTCATACTGCTCTTCATATTGCAGCTAAAAAGAATGAAATGGAAATTGGGCAGCAGCTCTTGCAATTCGGCGCTGATCCTGCTGTACGAAGCAAATCTGGTTTCTCACCATTACATTTGGCAGCCCAAGAAGGTCATATTGAGATGGTTAATTTGTTGTTGGAACATGGAGTTGATGCCAATGTGCAGGCAAAGAATGGCTTAACTCCACTGCATCTATGCGCACAAGAAGACAAAACAGCAATTGCTCATGTACTTCTCGATCATCAGGCTAACATATCTGAGCCTACTAAAGCAGGCTATACACCTCTACATATAGCAGCGCATTACGGTCAAATTAGTATGATTAAATTTTTGTTAGAAAACGATGCTAATATTGAAGTGAGTACCAACGTTGGTTATACACCGTTGCATCAAGCAGCACAACAAGGTCACGCAATGGTTATTAATTTGTTGTTACGGCATAAAGCTAATCCAAATGCCATAACGGATGTAAGTATGAAATTAACTTTTATTTAAATTCATGCGCACCCTTTTTACAATGCTTTTATACCTGGACATTGATCAATTTTAGGTGAGTTAGATGGTACAAGTGCTGTCCTGAAGTTTTTAAGCTAGAAGCCAATTAAGACTAGATGCTCCATTTCATACTCTTCCTATGGTATTTCATAGCTACGTCCAAATCAATTTTGTGTTCTCAAAGGCTTTTTTATGTCTAGTACTCCGCTTGAAATAGAGACATTAGGACCCTTGGAGCTTACATCCGTCTCCACTCAGCAGTTCAATTTAGACCCGTCGGAAACAATGATGTTGTACTCTCCTTTTCTTCCCTATTTCCGTCTGGAGGATATCCTCACCTGGAGGCAACTATGTTCTTAATTAATTTAGTTCCAACCACCTAATTGTTTGCAAAGAATGCAGCTACTCTCCGAATAAAAACGTCCACGCTCAATTGGTGCGGGAGCATGATAACCCCAGAATAGCATAGTATCCTCTGTAATCCCTAAAAGGTTGCTCTTTGAATTCCATTCAATTATAAAATATTAGAAAGTTGCGAACTAAACTTAAATAAAATGCATTTAATACATTTTTCTTAATTGTAAAGCTTAAACCACTACATCTTTCAAATGAATGCCTCTAGAATTAGCATTTTTCGATCCGTTTGAGATAATTTTCGAAGAAATAGAATATTTTGGGCGGGATCTCAGTAATAACTTGACGAATTTTAGTTATCACGCAAACGGCGTGATATCGCACAGTCCCGGTAGAAAAGTTGACATCGTTGACACGGGAGTTTAAGCAGTCTGAAATTTCTCTTGCATTTAAGCTATTTTCGCTTCTTTTGTGTGGCAAGTTGCACCATATTGTTACTTGGATCTCTGTGTAAGTTCGAGTGCAAAACACAATGTTGTGTCGTCAGAAAGTTCTAGCTTTGGCAACGTCGAGTGCGAGCTGCCAAGCATCAGGGCGACGCTTTTTATCTCCAAGGAAGAGATTCAGGGGGTCATAGGCAAAGGCAGCATGCTGTTGTTAACTAGGACAAACGAGAACAGATTTTCTCACTGAGGTTTTCAATTCGTGTCTGATATGTGGATAATGGGTAGAGTGGCCTCGCCATCAAAGCCCCCAGCGCAAGAGTCTCGTATCGGCTGAAATCTCTCCACTTCCCCACTAGCAAAGGTTCTTGGAGCCTTGCTTCTCCTGACTTTCGGACATTACCTGAATCCAGCAGCAGCCAAAAACTTCCATATAGGTAGTTTTCTGTCTCAATTGCTGTTTATATTTTATGTCTCGAAACTCGCTCCTACAACGGAAGGGTTTCAGTGATCTCAGCCAGGATATTGAGGACTTATGTTCTCCACAACCTTTCTCTCTTTTTCAATGCAAGACCATTAATGCTAAATCCAGCAAAATGCTTGGCTGCCCTCTCCACGAGCTGGACGAAGGAGTATAGACTCCAACTCGATGTGAAATTAGATGGCGCACAATTTCGCCTATAAACAATTCAAAGGTACTGGGAGATACATTCGGCAGCCTGCACTCCGTATACGACTACAATTTGTTATTAAACCCTAGAGCCGCAACAAATCGTTGGCAACACTTGAGGAAAATACAGAGAAACGTTGCTGGCAACTTGCAAGGCAATTAACCAAGCGACCCTAAACTATACTGCGCCGAGGGTGCTCCTGAACTCTCTTCCAGTGAATGGCATTTACGTAGTCAAACCACGACTATAGCAGACGTAATACTGGCACACTTCCCCGCACGGTACAAACTACCTCTTCGCATGCTCTGTCAAACCAACCCATCCAAGCCACCTCTCCTTCTGGTCCGAGCCCGTCGAAACTGCTCGTTTCGTGGGCCTCCCGTTAGATGACCTCGATGTATGCTTCTAAATAGGGGTTATAATTGCTAAAACAACATCCTCTCCTTCCTTGAGTGTTTGCGGATTGTTTGAAAGAGCTGGTTGAATTCTTTAAGTTTCTCCACTTCCACATCTGCTTCATGAATATTATCGATCTTATTACTTTTCCGCTTATCACGACACCGGGATTCTGATTTTAACATGTGCGTTTGCACAAGTTTAATTTACAGTATTTTTCACTCCCGGTTTGCCTTGGTGATATAAATAATATAATCGACCAGAACCGTTGCCCGAATTTATATGGCAATTCGATTAACGGATCAACAAATAGCAAACCGAGAATGGAACACAGCGTTGCAATTTTATTCAGTTACAAAAATCTTAAACTATTATAGAGTTACCAGAATTACATTAACAATGAACTTATACTTATGGCAAAACATATTTCGCTAAACTATGACATCTCCGCCCCCGTAAATTGACCCCGATTCACTACAAACTACATCCAGCTTAGCAAGCTTAGACGCAGGTCGTTGGATCGTTCCACACGAAGTCGACACGTCGGCTCGACGAACTTGACCATCTTTCCCAGGATACACTGTCTTCACCCGGCCGCGACGCCACTCCTTTCGGGGTACCTTGCTGTCACAGATTAAAACAAGATCACCTTCTTGTAACGGCTTCGTTGGTACACACCACTTCGTCCGACGGCAGGTGCGTAAGTGGGCGCGAATTCACTACATTTTCCGCCTCCACCAGCAGGCTATGGAACGTATGCTCTTTGGGACTCACCTCTTTCATTGTATAACACAGGACCTTCTTCACACACTGCACCATACGTTCCCAGGCGTCGCCTTCAGACGGATTTTCAGGGCAGTTGAAAACCCATTCTACGCCTTTCGATGTCAGCTCACCCTGCAACGCACAGCAATCGAACACCTCTGAAAAACGCCTAACCTCGCCAGTTATGCCAATGAAGTTCTTGCTATTATCCGATCTTATTCTTCTTGGGACGCCCCTTCGGTTCATAAAGTTCCGAATCACTAATATGCAAGAATCCGTCGACAGGTCGTAAGCAACCTCGAGATGAATGGCGCACACTGTTGAACACGTAAATAAAGCCACCCATCGCTTCTCAGTTCTTCGGCCGACAGTCACATTCACCGGGCCAAAATAATCATTTCCAGTGTACGTAAAAGGCCTCACATATGGCGTTACGCGGTCTTCTGGGAGTTGTCCCATCATCGGTACGGACGGCTTTGCTTTCCTTAGTTTGCATATATTGCAATTTGCAATGACCCCACGAATGACCTTTCTCAAGTTTGGGATCCAGTACTTCTGGCGAATCATACAAATAGTTGGCTCCGTATTTTGGTGCATCATTCGCTTATGCTCTTGGGCGGCTACGAGCCTCGATACGACATGATCAGATGGCAAAATTATAGAGTTCCTCATATCATAAGCGAGCCAACTGATAGCATCCAATTGCCCGTGTACTCGGAGAACACCTTCGCTATCCAGCCACGGCGAAAGTTTGTAGAGTGTACTCTCACTTGACAGACTTGGTCCTTTCTCCAGTAAATTCACTTCATTGACGAATGCTTCGCGTTGCGCGTGCCGACATATCAGTCGTTCGGCGGCGTCAAGCTCCGTGGCCATTAACCCATATGTTGACATCTTCTCCAGAGGTTCCGCTCTTGATCTGCTGTTACGGATGTAGCGGAGGACCCAGGCAACAACTCTCCTGAGTTTAAGAAACTATGAAAATCTGTTAAATTCAAAAATGCTGCTTCTGGCAATTAATAAAGCATATTTCGGCCGAAGTTCTTCGCTCTCGTCGGCGTTCACAACGGGTACGTCGTCTGTGGGCCAAATGTGCTCTGACTGATATAAAAAATCTGGACCCATGAACCAACGTGAGGATGGGTTGAGATTAACACAATTTTTTATCCGGGTTGCTTCGTCAGCGACATTTTCTCTTGTTGGCACCCATCTCCAATCAGACGGCTTAGATACACTTAGGATTTCCGCCACTCTATGGGCTACAAAGGGCTTGTAACGACGATGCTCACTTGCAATCCACTTGAGAACCGTTCTTGAATCGCTCCAAAGGACACAGCGATCTACGAGCAACGTATGCTCTTCAATTATAGTTGTCATCATACGCGATCCTAATACGGCAGCTTGCAACTCCAATCTAGGAATACTTAGTGTCTTGAGCGGCGCACTTCGTGACCTGGCTTACACAATACTGACTTGCACCGTTTTGTCCGGGCTCTCTGCTCTCCAAAATGCTACGGCTCCGAATGCGTCTTCGCTCGCGTCAACAAATATGTGCAATTGTAGAGATTTTGGCTCGCCCAACCTGAAATAGTGGCGTGGAACTGTGCACTCTATAACCTTTAGCAACTGCCTCCGGAAATTATTCCACATGTCGTTGATATTACTAGGAACGGGCTCATCCCAGCCTAAACTAAGTTTCCAGATTTCGCGTAAAATCAATTTGCCCGTAATGGTGAGGTGGCACAGGAATCCCAAGGGATCGAATATGGACATGACGATGCTCAGTAGCATCCTCTTTGTGGGCACTAAATTGCCACTCATAACTTGCGAATCGATTCCATGGAACTCAAACCGGTATGTAAAATGGTCACTTGACGGTTGCCACGACATGCCTAAGACTTTCCCAGATTGCATGGCTTCTTTGGAGATAATGGACAAGGCTGTATTTTCACCACCCAATGCGATCGCGACTTCCAAGAGATTTGACCTGAACTTCCGCAGCTGGAAACCGGCGTCTTTGTGAATGTCGCGAACCTGCTTGGCTATCTCTATAGCTCTCTTAGCGGAATGGAAACTATCGACATAATCATCCACATAGTGATAGTCCGTTATGGCTTGGACTGCACGTCGATCGTAGTTGTCGTGTTCCGTCGCATTCTTTACCTTCACAAAATGTGCTGAACTCGGAGAGCATGCTGCACCAAATGTCATTGCTGTCATCTCATATACGTCAGGCGTTCGTTGGCTATCACCATTGCGCCACAGAAATCTCTGGGCGCACCTATCTTTAGGACGGATTAAGACTTGATGGAACATTTCCTGTATGTCCGCACAGATGGCCACG